TCTGTTCGTGCGTAGAGGCCACAGCCACATCGGAAACCCGGCAGATAAGGTGGGGGCATGAAGGAAGGCATTGTCTCAGCTTTGACGGCTTGGACAACCTAATTTTAAGATCAACCACAGCATGTGGTTTTCACAAACAACACAAAGAAGAAGGCCAATCAGAGCCTGTTGTTACAGAGAGAAGCTATTGTACGGCTCACCGTCTGATCTGATCTGATTTGGGTTTTTTCTCTAAAACACCCTCGGCTTTTCCCCATTGCCGCTTATTACTTACAAATGAAAACATGAACATACCATCATAGAACCCTAGGCAGGAAGAGACCTCAGGAGTCATCAAGTCCAGCCCCCTGCCCAAAGCAGGACCAACCCCAACTCCATCATCCCAGCCAGGGCTGTGTCAAGCCGGGATTTAGGATGGAGATTCCAGCACCTCCCTAGGGAACCCATTCCACTGCTTCCCCACCCTCGTGGGGAATAGTTTTTCCTAATATCCAATCTAGACTGTAATTTGAGCCCATTGCTCCTTGTTCTGCCATGTGCCATCACTGAGATCAGCCTCTCTCTATCCTCTTTGGAACCCCCCTTCAGGAAGTTGAAGAAGAATAATTCTTCAAGAATTATAATTATTGGGAGCCTATTTGCCGGGTTTTCAATCCCCAGCTTTTCTCGTGCCCTAGTGGTATTTTTGGTTTTTTGTTTGTTTGTTTGTTTGTTTTTTAAGGCGTGCAGGGAGCAATACCATCCTGGCTTTTCCCAAATTGCGTTGTTTTCTTTAATGAGGTGTTGGGACTAAAACAGTTCACTTAAAACCATTCAAAATGGAGGCATTGAACTTTTGACCCAAGGACTCCATTTTGATCAGAGTGCCTTTCAGCAGCTGGGGACTGTGCTGCTCTTGCCAGCCAGAACTGGTTTTCAGAACGTGCCATCCCCTCAGGGTGGTGTGCCACAGAAGCATTGTGAGGCCCTGAGCAGCTGCTGAGGGGGAGTGTCTTCCATCTCTGCTCCTGTCTGCATCAGACCTCCACAGCTGTGATGAGGAAGGGGGAAGAGTCCCTATCAACAATTGGAGATTGCCTATCTCCTAGAACTGGAAGGGACCTTGAAAGGTCATTGAGTCCAGTCCCCTGCCTTCACAGTAGGACCAAGTACTATCCCTGACAAATTTTTGCCCCAAATGGCCTCTACAAAGATTGAACTCACAACTCTGGGTTTAGCAGGCCAATGCTCAAACCACTGAGCTATCCCTCCCCCCACTAATTGATCAGACTTCCACCACCGTGACAGCAGTTCTCCACAGGGCCCTCCCTGGAGCGTCTCCCTGTTAGCAATTAGCTCGAGGGTTGTAGGTCCCAGGCCTCAGCAGCACCGACTATCCAGCCTGATACCACCGGCACCTCTGAATAGAACAGGGGTTTGCTTTCTCGGGGCTCTCTCCTGTCTTCTCTTCTTTTCCTCCTGACCCACAGGAACATTGGGGCCCAGGCTTCATGCCTCCCTGATGAAATCCCTACATTGCCACATTCGGTTCGTTAGTTCCAGTCGAGTAAGGGTGCTTCCTATCACTTGTGTTATTGTTTTAGTTCTTATACAACCACCCCCCCATTTTCCCAGTTAGTGTTATTTAATTCCCCAGTGCATTTGTTACCTTATTTTAGCGTGTCCTTGATTTATACATCACACTGGGAGGGCGCACTGAGGGGTTCCTCCAGCCGATGATAGATGCGGGAAAAGGGACCTGCATCCTCTGAAACAGGATATAAGGGGTCACTTTTGAATTTCTATTTTCTTAGTTGCCCTTGCCCCTAGGTAACAATTTTAGCGACCGCGGACGGACCTTTTCAGGAGTAATTGCCCTGATTAGGTCCAGTAAGCATCCTGAGATTTTGTTCAATTTGCAGTGTTAGGGAATAAGTCCAACTACTCCGGGTGGGCTGCTTCCCTTGGTCTACTGCTCCTTTTTGGGTTCCATACTGTACCCAAAATCATCATGGCTGAGCTGTGACCGAGAAAGGGGGTGAAGTAGGTTCTACAGCTGCAGGCTGAGGATCTCATGTTTCTCCCCAATCTGTAGGGCAGGGTCAGGTTTACTAAAAATCCTAGGAGCCTCTGTGGCTTTGTTATCAAGGGACGCCCTGATTCCACAGGCGGGAACTTAGATAGCAGATGGTGTATCCCCACCTTCACCACTTACAAAATATTGGTCCAAGAAAGGTGTAGCATGCCATTCCCATACCGGACTCAAAACCGTCACGGCTATGGCTGGTAGAAGGGGTGAAGTAGGTTCTGCAGCAGCAGGCCAAGGAGCTCACGTTTCTCCCCCTATCAGTAGAGCAGGGTTGGGGTGTCTGCGAACTAACCTTTGGATTTTTGGGGGGTTGACGGATAAGCAACCCTCTAGGAATGATGCCTGGAAAAGTTTTTTGGCCTCCAAGGCTGGACCTCCTAGGACAATAACACCTCTCTTGAATAGTGTGTGGATTGTTTTGGTCAGGGAGGGAACCTCATAAATCAATCCCTCTGCCCCCCCAACGGCTGGTGTTGCTCTGCCTTTAATTCCTTCCCTTCTTCTGCTGCCTAGAATTCAGTGCCGAATTCCAGGTGGGCTCACCCCAGCCTGCATCGACATGATTCTTCTTCATCTGCAGGGGACCGCTGCATTTGTTGGTTTGGCGCTGTCTCTCCCTGCACATTTCATTCTAACGAAGGCCTTGGCCTTCTCTACACTGGCACGTTTTGTCACTTAAAACAGGCTTCTGGTGACAAAACAGTGAGAGCGTACGCACTACCATGCAACTTTTGTCGGGGGAGTGGGGACATCCAGTTTTGGCAACAAAAAACTTCCACACGTGCAAGAGACTTTTGTCTTTTCCCCTCCCTTTATTGTCAACAAATAGCCAGGGTGGAATCTGTTGTTCGTTTTGTCAAGAGAACTGGCTTCCGTCAGGATCCCACCATGCCAGCTCTAAGGGCTCGTCTCAGTGTTTTGTGAGCTCTGCTGCCCTGCAGGCACTCACCCCTCCCCTTTTGAAGCTCCAGGAAGGCTGTGATTGATTCAGGATTAAACAGCGAAGCTGTGACCAGCTTGGAAATAGCGACTGGGCCTGCTGACTCACAAGCATGTGCCGTAGGTGATCAGCTGGGGACGCACGACAAGCAATTGACACTTCATCCCTCCAGCCCCTCGATACCACCTTAGCCCACTGCTCCCAAGGAAGATGCAAAAGCATGGTGTGTGCTTTTGCGTAGTTGGCACCCACCTGCTTAGGCCATGTCCCCTGCAAATGTGCAAAAAAGACGGAAAGCACAAGGAGGTTTTATGTTGCTTTGACTAGGCAAGAATCACGGGATTTTGTCAGAACTCCAAAGGACTCTGGAACTGTGCACATGGATGGCTGATATAACAGGCCAAGTCTCCCCAACCATCCAGCCTGCCACGTTGAAATGCACCACCCCTGAAAGGGCATCCTGGCATTCTAGCCATGGTCCTGCCTCCACTCCACCCAGCTCCGGCTTGCCTCCTTGCCCTCCAAGCTCCATCCAACTTGTGCCTCTTCCCATCCCAGCTCCGCCCATTGGATGGGCAGAAGGGAGGAAGCAAAGAGGTGACATTGAGAGGTGACGCATGCCCCATGCTACAGAGGAAGGCGAAAAACCTCCAGGGCCTCTGCCAATCTACCCTGGAGGAAAATTCCTTCCTGACCACAAATATGGCGCTCAGCTGAACCCTGAACATGTGGACAAGACTCACCAACCAGAAACCCAGAAAAAAGTTCTCTATAGCAACTCCTATCTTCCCACCTTTGGCCTATTTACCGCTGATAGTGATTAATTGCCAAAATCATGTTATCTCATCAAACCATCCCCTTCATAAACCCATCTAGCTTTATCTTGAAGTCAGATAGGTCTTTTGCCACCACTACTTCCCTTGGAAGGCTGTTCCAGAACTTCACTCCTCTGATGGTTAGAAACCTTCGTCTAATCTCAAGTCTAAACTTCCTACTAGCCAGCTTATATCCATTTGTTCTTGTGTCCACATTGGTATTGAGCTTAAATAATTCCTCTCCCTCCCTGGCATTTATCCCTCTAATATATTTAAAGAGAGCAATCATATCTCCCCTTCTTCTGGTTAAGGGAAACAAGCCAAGTAGTGATGGATGGCAGAACAAGGAGCAATGGTCTCAAGTTACAGTGGGAGAGGTCTAGGTTGGATATTAGGAAAAATTATTTTGCTAGAAGGGTGGTGAAGCACTGGGATGGGTTACCTAGGGAAAGGACGGAATCTCCATCTCTAGAGGTTTTTAAGTCTCTGCTTGACAAAGCCCTGGCTGGGTTGATTTAGTTGAGATTGTTCCTGCCTTGGGCCGGGGGCTGGACTTGATGACCTCCTGAGGTCTCTTCCATCTCTCTGATTCTATGATTCTGTCCCCCTCTTGTATCCACACTCCCTTCTAGATCTGGCACCCCAATCTCATGTCCCAGATCACAATCCTCTCCTACCCAAGGTCACATCCAAAACCCCTGCACTTCAGTCCCCTGCCCTCGGTCACAACCGCCTGCTTCATCCCAACTCCCTCCCAGACTCCAGTCTCCCTCCTGCACCCCAGTCTCTTACGCCAAGCTCCCTTCTGCACCCATCCTCCATCCCAGACCCCACATCTCCATTACTATCATGGAAGAGTGCGGCCCACAACCACGTTCCAAAATCTTGGCGTGGCCCTACCATCAAAAATTATTGCCCTCTCCTGTTACATATTTGCCACACATCTTGTACAAAATGTAGCATGTAAGATATCTATGGAAAGGTTATCATTTGCTGAATATGCTTATGCTGTCTGTGTGAATGTGTCATTTTTGTGTTTGACGTTATGAGTTTTGGCTCTGTCCCTGTATTTCAAATGTTTTCTCCTGGAGTAATGACCTCAAGGTAAAAAACAACAAGTAGACTAACAAAACATGTTAAGTGCTACTAGACCATTTGTTGTTGTTTTTCTGTACAGATTAACTCGGCTACCCCCTGGACCTCAAGGTAGTTAGCCAGCACATCTTGGAGGAGCTATTTAAATTGAGGACATCAAAAGGACACTTATCTCACCATGGACCATGAGAGAAGCCCATCAAAACGTAATAGACTTTCCTGTGAACATTCCATCTGAAGGACAGGTAATGGCTTCCTGCTATGATTAAGCAAAATTGGGCATGGACTGGTAATCTGGGCTGAGGGCCTTGTTTGAAACAATGGGTTCCCCTCCACGTGGCCGCTGCTGTTCTGGGCTTGTTGTGCTTGCGCAGAGGCGACGCGCGGAGGATCTCCCTCACAGCGCAGGCGCGCCTCAGCCGGTGTGCAAACCGGAGGGCAGGTGGACCCAGGGAGAGCAGGGGCACCGACAGGGATGCTGGCGTGGAAAAGGGCACTGATGGTTAAAACCAGCGCTGGGCCAGATGCAAGGGAGGGGGAGAGAGAGGAGGAAGGGGGAGCAGGGTCGGCTCACGTGCTGCCACCCCCCTTCTCTGCCACCTCCCTAACTGCCACCCTGTGCCCCACACAGACAGCCCTCCCCACTCCTCTCCCGCCACCTCCCAACTGCCTCCCTGTGCCCCACAGACAGTGCCCCACTCCGCCCACCTCCCTAACTGCCACCCTGTGCCCCACAGACAGCGCATGGGGTGACCTTTCATCCAGGAGAAGGTTTTAAGGTACTTTTGGACCCAATTGGGGTCCCGCCCTGCCCCCCTGCGTGTAGCCTCCTGGGACTCACCCCCTGCCCCCCTGAGGTTACATAACCGACCCTCTTTCTGCCCCCTTCTTCCCCACCAGCACGCAGTGCCCCCACCCCCTTGCGCACAACGGCTCGGCCACCGCCCTGCCCCCCGCGGCACCTGCGGCCCCGGGCACGAGCAGGGGTGCCCCTCCTGCATGGAACCTCCCTTCCACCTGGGGTCTCTCCCCACCTGCCACCCTCCCCCCACCGGAAACCAAAACCAAAGCCGGCCCGACCTGCTCCTCTCGCTGGGCTTATCGGAGCAGAAGGAATCCGTGTGCCTGCTGAGCGCAGGGTGGCGGGGCTGGTTAACCCTGCGATGCGTTACACTGCTATGAAGCCAGCCGGCTGCTGTTCGTCCTGCGAGTGGGGCTCCTCTGGGTCTGGTTCCAGCCGTCGGGGTGAGATGTGAGCGCTGAGCTTTTCCTTGCCAAGGCAGGGCACGTGGATGCCTGAGCCAACCTTGCAAAGAGAAGTCCCCTTGCTAGTGGCCGCATGACTGTGTACTGTTCTCCTGGGGGCTGGCTGCTCAGTCCTGGGGAGGGAGGAGGCTCTTGCTGTTCTCAGAGGGTCAGGTGTGGGCCAGGAGTCATCAGCCCCCAGGGTCTGTGACTCTGGGGGTCCCCTGGCTCAGGGTCCCCTCCTTTTCTAAATTTTGTTCCTCCGGTTTTCTAAGCAACACCGGGTAAGTCCAGCTAGTGATTTTATAGACCTCTATCATATCCCCCCTCAGTCTCCTCTTTTCTAAACTGAAAAGTCCCGGTCTCTTTAGCCTTTCCTCATATGGGACCCGTTCCAAACCATTTTAGTTGCTCTTTTCTGAACCTTTTCGAATGCCAAAATATCTTTTTTGAGGTGAGACCACATCTGTTCGCAGTATTCAAGATATGGGTGTACTATAGTTTTATTTAGGGGCAGTAAGATATTCTTTGTCTTATTTTCTATCCCTTTTTTAATAATTCCTAGCATCCTATTTGCTTTTTTGACTGCCTCTGAACACTGCGTGGACGTTTTCAGAGAACTATACACAATAATTCCAAGATCTCTTTCCTGATTAGTTGTAGCTAAATTAGCCCCCATCCTATTGTATGGATAGTTGGGGTTATTTTTTTCCCGATGTGCATTACTTTACACTTATCCACATTAAATTTCATTTGCCATTTTGTTGCCCAATCACTCAGTTTGGTGAGATCTTTTTGAAGTTCTTCATAGTCTGCTTTGGTCTTGACTATTTTGAACAGTTTAGTATCATCCGCAAACTTTGCCACCTCACTGCTCACCCCTTTCTCTAGATTGTTTATGAGTAAGTTGAATAGGATTGGTCCTAGGACTGAACCTTGGGGAATACCACTAGTTACACCTCTCCATTCTGAAAATTTACCATTTAATTGGGATAATACCCCAATTATCACCTCTAATATCATTAGCTCACAGACATTTACCTCCCCCCCCCCATCCTCCTTCTGTTCTAAAATTTGATTTGTCCTTTTCATGTGTTCATTTTTTTAATTGTATCCTTTGGTATATAGGGTTGTGACAATTTTCTTCCACTATTTGATCTGAGGAAGTGGGTCTGGCCCACGAAAGCTCATCACCTATTAAACCATCTTGTTAGTCTTTAAAGTGCTACATAGTCCTGTTTTTTATTTTGCTATTAATTTGAGGTTTTGGCTAGCTGTTCCTCAATCTTTTTTTGGCTTTTCTTATTACATTTTTACACTTAATTTGGCAGTGTTTATATTCTTTTGCATTTACCTCACTATGGCTGGACTTCCACTTTTTAAAAGATGCCTTTTTATCTCTCACTGCTTCGTTTACATGGTTAAGCCACGGTGGCTCTTTTTTAGGTCTCTTACTCTGGTTGCCTCTTCACAGGGTTTCTAAAGCTCTGGCCTTCCTGATAGCTCCTCCCTCTGGCTACAGCTCCACCAATGAGCAGAGAGTTTTAGATTTCAAATCCTAATTCATTCGTTAACACACAGCTTCCAACTGCCAGCCTGAGCACATGGCCTTTCAAAACAAACAGCTCAGCACTCAAAACTCCAAACAGACAGACAAACACAAGTCCAGAACCCCCACACACTCCAGACAGCCAAGGTGCTGTAAATTGCCCCCTTTTCACCAGGAAGACACCCTCTCAAAATTCCCTCCTGTCAGCAATCGCCCTGTGACGCATCTATGGCAAACTAGACTCCTGCTTCATCCTGCCCAGCCACCATCCTACAGACTGAATGCAAAAGGACTTTTATGCAGCAAAACAATCCAAGGCAGCACATGGTCCTGGGAGAAAAGTTACAGATGCCTCAACTAGGAAGAGCAGGCAAATAAGAAACACAAGTGTTTGTTGACCAGGGCCCATCGGAGGGAACAGAAGGAGGCAAGCATGGGAGGTAAAGGTGTTAGGATGAAGTGTAACACGGGAGAGGAGACCCACATAGCAGCTATCCCAAGGAGCCGCTGTGCTCTACCCTGGCGTCGACCTTTTCACTAACACCACCCTCCCTACCCGGTTTTTGCAGCAAGCAGACACACGACATCAAGGCCCAAGCAAGAACAGGAATGTGTTTATTCAGTGTGATGCTCAATCACCACAGGGCGTGCACTGCAGTCACTGTACATCAGAAAAGTCAACCAAGGCGCAGGAGAAGGGAAACAGTGTAAACAAACCAAACTCTAGCTGGGAGAGTGGGAATATATTTTGGCTTCCCAGCACTCAGTCTGGTGCTGATCCCGAGCAGGACGTGTATAGGCAATGTCTCTGCGGGAGTAAGAAAGGTGAGTTGAAATGTTCTGCTTTGGGGGTGGTTTGGGAGAAACATTTCCCGGTGAGCTTGGATCCTTTTTTTTTTTTTTTTAAAAACTCAACCTCATCAACTGGGACTAGGGGTATAAAAGCAGAAACCCAGGCAACATTATCCCCCCTTTCCTGACAGGCCGAGGGTACAAGAAGGCACGTCCCGAGGGGGGCAGTGCTCTTCAGCTGCGCCTCCCGCACCCAACACACGGGAGAAAACAATACAGATTTGCCGAGAGGCACCCCGGCAGCAGCAGGGGAGGTCTTGTCTAATCATAACTGAGACAGAGTTTGCAAGAAGTGGCACCATCGGTAACCCCAGGACAGCTCTGCACAGAGGGGGGTTTGGTGTCTCGCTGGAGAAAGTTCTTCAGGGCATCAAATTAATTTTTCCTGGTCCCATCACAGTCCGGCCCGGAGAGAGACGAAGAGGGCCAAGAGGGCTGTGGCCAGCACCATGTAGCTGACTTTCACGCTGCTGGCCCCACTGATGTTGCACAAGAAAGAACTGCAGCAGGAAATCGAAGCAGCCAGTACCCCGAGGTTTATCCCAGCGCTGGGGCAAACGGGAGCGCACCCTTTGGAGATGCTCTGACCCGATTGTCCACCTGCACCAAAACAGCAGAAAGACACTCATAGTTACAATAGTCCCCAGGGTGCGGGCAGGGGCTCCTGAGCGCAGCACTAAACAAGCATGAGACGAAGAGGCCACGTCCCAGCCTTCTCTCTGCCAGCAAAGGCCCAGCCAGCAGGAGTCATTCTTGCTCTATCCCACGGAAACAGCACTAGTCTCTTCCTAGCGGTGACAGACATGGCAAGGAACCACCTGGGAGCATCCCCTCCTTGGGAAGAGCCAACGAACCCTGAGAATCCATCCCCGATTGTCCGGCTGGGCCCAATGCATGCTGGGACTAGGGCTGTAAAATTCTGTTGAATTGATTAGCCGCTTACATATATTAGTTAACCAATTAAAGGGGGGAGGTAGGCGGGAGGGCGGGGCTACTCTAGCTTGGTTGGAGCATCCTTCCCCCCTGGTTGCTCCAGTAACCTGGCTGGAAGGCTTCCTGTCCATGGTGGGCCCCTCGCAGGAGTGGAGTAGTCCCCTGCCCGCGGCAGGCACCCCCTTCCGTTAATCGGTTAAACGGTCACATCCCCAGTTGGGACGGGGCTTTGGACGGGTAGTGAGGGCAGTGGGGTTGCCCGCCAGCACAGCCGGGACTGAGTCCTGTCTCCTGCCACTGAGCCTCAGAGCTTTGGAGCTGGTGGTAGCTAGGTCACCGCCCAGCTCATGGAGCAGCAGACGGGAGTTGGAGGTCACTCCCAGCATGGCACTGCTCAAAGGGCTCTACCCCAAAACAGCTTTAACCCGGCCTCCTTTTGTGCACGCACAGCCAGCCGGGCAGTGGGACTGGAGCGTGTGAATTCCTGCACATGCCACTAGTGGAACCTGACACCAGCCCGGGAGGGGTCTGGCGCTTCAAACATCACCTGGGGAAGCGCAAAAGGAGGCTCGTGATGTAGTTACACAGGGCACCTGCAACGGCCTGTGGCCCAACTGGTCCCATCGCTGGGGTGATATCCCTGCGCAGCCGGCACTACTTTCACCAAGGGAGCCATGCACCTCCCCACGAAGGGGCTACTTGCAGCCCACTCAGAGCGCAGAGGCGGCCAAAGACATTGACGTGGCCGCTGAGTGGAGTCAGAGGCACCGGGGCATAATTGAGTCACCTCCTTTCCCTCGCAGTCAGGGCACAGGCAGCCCTCTTTGCCCCCCCACACACCGGAGGGAAGGAGCCGTCTTCCCATATTCCTGGGCGTGGGCTCCATTTCCCCAGAGTGCAGCAGCAGAGGATCCACACGGCCCTTTCCAAAGGCTCCCTCGCGCCGCTCCAGGCTGGCAGCCACTTAGAGCACTTAGATCACTTTGGGAAGTGGTCAAGGGCTGCACTTCTGTGGAGGGGGGGCAGGTTCTGGGAGGGAGGCGGAATGCAGAAGGAAGCTTGTGGGAGGGGACTGGGGTGCAGGGCCTGGGATGGATATGGGTGCAGGAGAGGATTCTGGCCTGGGCGAGGGGTGCAGGAGGGAGTGCAGGGTCTGAGAGGGAGTTGTGACCTGGAGGAGGTGGACAGAGGGGGTACAGAGGGTTTGGGTGGTGACTTGGGGCAGGTAGCTGGGGAGGGTGGAGGAAGTGAGATGCCTGAGGCAGGCTCTGGCTGGGAGGCACTTACCCAGGCAGCCTCCAGGCAACAGCCCTGCAGGAATAGGGCTGTTCGCACGTAGTCGTTAATACGATTAACCGATAAGCCTGACACAGAGGCAGCAAACGCGGAGGGAGCCGGTGGGGAGCCTCATTCAGAGCTTCCACCAATGCCGTAAGAGGGCCCGAAGCAGGACAGGGAGATACAGAGCCCCGCTCTCCTAGGAAACCTGATGTTGCCCCTCAGTCGCTCCCTCACCTGCAACCCTCACTCACCAACCCAGGGCTCCTGCATTTGGGGTCAAGGAGCGACTCCCCACCCAGCTCCCGACCAGCCACATCCCATCCTTCCGGCAGCAGAGAAAGGAAACCCCAGGGATCCGGATCGGGAGAGCGCGATGGAAAAACAGGCAGAACGCGCCCAGACCTACCAATTGTTGCCCCCACATATGTGGTCACACAGTAGTTTGCCTCACTTGGACACGCGACTGGGCTCAGACAGCCCCAGTTGGAGGCGGAATCCTCACAGCTGAAGCAGAACAGCGCGTGAGCTGCAAAAGGAAAACACACCCATTAAACTGCTCCTGCTAGCCTCAGTCTATCTGTGGCTGGTCTACAGCCCACAGCCCTGCGGCTGGCTGCTAATGAGCATCGCTGCGGACCCTCCCCATGTGTTCTCAGCCGCTGTTTCAGGTCAAACTCACTGACACCAGAAAGAGATTTTTTCCTGTGCACCCACTGAGCAAGGACTGCAGCCAAAAGACCATGGTGGGGAGGAAGGATTTTTCAGTTGTGTGCCCAGCTGCTATTTATGCTTCTGCCAAGTTCACCCTCTGCAATACCAACCTGGACAGACTCTCTCAGCCTGCACCTTTTCTAAGCCTTAACTCTACACACAGGATCACAGGTCTAAGGAAAAGCCAGCGGGGACTGCCCAACCAGCCGGATTTTTTCTCTGACAGGATTCCTAACCTGGAGCAGCAGTGCACAACCCGTGGGTTGTGTCCCCCCACGGGGGTCGCAGCTGTCTTCCAGGGGGGTTGCAGCGCTGGCTCGGCATACATGTGGCAGAGCTCACTGGGAAATGTTTATCCCAAACCTCCCCCAAAGCAGAACATTTCAACACACTTTTCTTACTCCCCCAGAAACTGAGAGAAAGCGTTAACAAAACTGGCCCCGGTTAGGCCTGAGACAGGAAGACTGAAGCAAGCATGGCAGTAGTCCTGAAACATGTCAACCTCTGCCATCGCCATGACGGGGATCCATTGTTCTCCACATCCACAGGAAATAACAGTCTTACTCTGCAATAAGGGGGATTTCAGTTAGAGGTTAGGAAAGGCTTTCTAACGACCAGGGTCGGTAAAGGTTGGGTCAGCTTCCCAAGAAGACTGTGGAATCCCCGTCACTGGAGGTTTTGAAGAACAGGTTGGACAAACGGCTGTGAAGGATGATCTCGGTTTACTTCCTCCTGCCTCGGCACAAGGGAGCTAGACTTAATGACAGCTTGAGATCGCATTCAACCTGATTTTTCTATGATTCTAGGACACTGGCTAAGAGAGGGAGTAAGTCTCCCTCTGTTGTTGGTGCAAGCAATTTCAACAACCTCTTACTGCTCAAAGTGTTCTCCTTGGGTGCCTAAGACACTAGGGTCAATGCCTTCTGAGGCCCATGTCTGTATGATGCAGTCACAGCCACATGAAGAAGATGTGTCATCCCAGATCAGACGCTCAGCATCCCACTCTTGGTAGTGATCGTTGGTTCATAGGAAAGCATAAAAATCCACCGCACACCGGAGCTATTGCACATGGGGAAAACCGGCTAGAGCCGGCCCAATATTATATAAAGGCTAATTTGCAAAGAGGCAGGTGCCAATAGATGGTGAGAGGTAATGGAAATGTGAGCTGCCATGACGGGGATCCATGGTTCTCCACATCCACAGGAAATAACAGTCTTACTCTGCAACAAGGGGGATTTAAATTAGAGGTTAGGAAAGGCTTTCTAACAACCAGAGTCGGTAAAGGTTGGGTCAGGCTTCCCAAGAAGACTGTGGAATCCCCGTCACTGGAGGTTTTGAAGAACAGGTTGGACAAACAGCTGTGAAGGATGATCTCGGTTTACTTCTTCCTGCCTCGGCACAGGGAGCTGGACTTAATGACCACTTGAGATCTCATTCAACCGGATTTTTCCATGATTCTAGGACACCGGCTAAGAGAGGGAGCAAGTCTCCCTCTATGGTTGGCCCAAGCAATTTCAACAACCTCTTACTTACAGCTCAGCATGTTCTCCTTTTGTTCGAATGCTACAGGCCTACCGTTGGGGGCTTAAGACACTATAATGGTCCATGTCTGTATGATGCAGTCATAGCCACATGCAGATGATGTACTATCCCAGATCAGACACTGAAGTCATTCAGCATCCTAGCCCTGGTAGTGATCATTGCTTCATAGGAAGGTACAAAAATCCACTGCACACCTGGGCTATTGTGCATGGAGAAAACCGGCTAGAGCTGACCCAATATTATTTAACGGCTCATTTGCAAAGAGGCAGATGCCAGCAGATGGTGGGAGATAATGGAGATGTGAGCTCACACTGGCGCTAACACATGAGGTGTTAATGGCATGATGTGTTATTTATAGATGGGCATCACATGGATGACTAGAGAATTCATTCTGACTTGCTAAACAAACTTAATTATTATAGTGCTAGAAACAGGCTGAAGAAAGAGAGAATCATAGAATACTAGGACTAGAAGGGACCTCGAGAGGTCATCAAATCCAGTCCCCTGCCCTCATGGCAGGACCCAGTACTGTCTAGACCATCTCTGATAGACATTTATCTAACCTACTCTTAAATATCTCCAGAGATGGAGATTCCACAACTTCCCCAGGCAATTTATTCCAGTCTTTAACCACCCTGACTGTTAGCAAGTTTTTCCTAATGTCCAACCTAAACCTCCCTTGCTGCTTCAAAGGCCAGGAAAAACAATTTTTCTCCCTCCTTCTTGTGATACGCTTTTAGATATCTAAAACCACTATCATGTCCCCTCTCAGTCTTCTCCTTTCCAAACTAAACAAGCCTAATTTTTTCAGTCTTCCTTCATAGGTCATGTTCTCTAGAACTTTAATCATTCTTGTTGCTCTTCTCTGGACCTTCTCCAATTTCTACACATCTTTCCTAATTGGACACAATGCTCCAATTGAGGACTAATCAGCACAGAGTAGAGCAGAAGAATGACTTCTTGTGTCTTGCTCAGAACAGTCCTGTTTATCCTTCCCAGAACTGTGTTTGCTTTTTTTGCAATACAGGCAGTCCCCGGGTTACGTACAAAATAGGGACTGTAGATTTGTTCTTAAGTTGAATTCGTATGTAAGTCGGAACTGGTACATATTGTAGGGGAAACTCTAGCCAAACATTTCTCCAGAGCTCAGTTTTATTCTCCCACACCTCACTTCCCTCAGTCCTTTATTCTCAAGCTGAGGTGTCTGCTGAGAAAAGCCGCTCCGCGTCTCCCTGGTTGCATTTGTCCTTATTAAACTTCATCCTGTTTACCTCGGACCATTTCTCCAATTTGTCCAGATCATTTTGAATTATGACCCTGTTCTTCAAAGCAGTTGCAACCCCTCCCAGCTTGGTATCATCTGCAAACTTAATAAGCGTACTCCCTATGCCGATATTTAAATTGTTGATGAAGATATTGAACAGAACCTGTCCCAAAACAGACCCCTGCGGAACCTCACTTGTTATACCTTTCCAGCAGGATTGTGAACCATTAATAACTACTTTCTGAGAAAGGTTATCCAGCCAGTTCACCCAACTTATAGTAGCCTCATCTAAGTTGTATTTGCCTAGTTTATTGATAAGAATATCGTGCGAAACCGTATCAAATGCCTTACTAAAGTCTAGGTATATACCACATCCACCATTTCTCCCTTATCTACAAGGCTCATTATCCTATCAAAGAAAGCCATCAGAAGCAAGGTGCATTTCCTACAGAGCTTACTGTGCAAACTGGGCAGAAATCGACGCATGAGGGTGACAAGGAAGGAAGGCATGGATTAAGGAAGAACAAAATTTGAAGCATTAAATTCTTCCTCAGGGCTTGATTTCACCCCCTTTATGTAACCACCTTCACTGGTCACCTTCAGAGTTTGAACCTCGGCATCTCAGCAGCACAACATGTTGATATGAAACGAACAATTCCAATTGGCAGCATAAGAACATAAGAACGGCCATACTGTCGGCAGGACACCCTCTGATCTCAGCTTTGGCTAACACACCTAGTAATGCCCCATGTTCCAGGAAAGCTGGGGCATGATTAGACTAGAGGCCACATGGCATATAGGTCATGGTAAACATGGGGCTCTCTCCCCAGAGTCACCTTGACCTAGCCTGCCCTCCACGGGCACAATGGCTGCAGCACCCTCCATGAAGCACACATCTATTTCTTGTGTCTCTGATGAAAAGAGCAAGATTTTGAAATACTCCTCAGCAACATGCGTGCAGGCAAAACGGGCTGTGGTCAGCGGCTGAACGCAGGTGTGGATGTTTCTTGATGGATCGGTCATGTACTTTTTTTAATACAGACATTGTGTGGGCTTATTGACCCAGCTGCACTCCAACTACTATTACTGAGCACGCACTTGAAAGTAGGAATAAGAAATCCTCCGGAAAAGGGCTTATTTTTCGGAGAATCGCATCTAGACTGGCGCTTTTCTCCAGCTTATCCCCAAGCCGGAAAAAAGCGGCAGCCATGTAAATGCAAATGCCGCGGGGGATATTTAAATTCCCCCGCGGATTTGCAATTCTGACTCGTCACATTAGCATCCCTTTTCCGGAAAGGGATGCCAATGTAGACGTAGCCCAAGAGTGGGAGTTCTGGAGAGGAACGCAGCTAGAACAAGCCAAGACCAGTCTTCCCAACAGCTCCACCCTCGTCACTTCATAACAAGACTATATAGTTCCAAACACGGTAGCATACGGTCAAAATGTCAGTGCCAGATGCTGAAGGAACAAGTCTGCAGAGCAGTTCAAACGGCAGCTTTCTGGCAGAACTGCAGAGCCACAGGGGACGACTCAAGCTTCCCTCTGACACAGCCTCGGATGCCAAGATGCTCTGCAGAGCCCGTGAATCAGTGAATGAATCCGAAGGTTCAATTCTGACTCAGTGCAAATGACATCACAGAAATTCCACCTTGCTTGCCTCCTCCTCCTCCTCCCCCCTCCCCGGACTCTCAGACAGATGATCTTAACTCAGTTCGCATTTTTAACCACCTGTGCCATAAATTTAGCCACAGATCATTCCTATGGACTCGTCACCCTTAATCTAGCTCATGTTCTTATATAGCATCCCACGACCATAGCATCTGAGCACCTCAGAACCAGCTGAGTATTTATCCCCACAACACCCCTGATTTTACATAGAGGGAAACAGACACCCAATGCGGTTAAGTAACTCTCCCAAAGACATGCAGGAAGTTTGTAGCAGAACAGGAATTTAAACCTAGGTCTCCCAAGTCCTACCCCAGTGCCAAACCAACTGGACCACCCTTCCTTTCACTAAGATACATTTTACGATCACATGTAAACAATTCTGAGGACACGTGAGCCAAGAATATCTATGCATCTGCCAGATCAAAGCTGGCAAACACAGCTAAAGGGGAGAGGAAAATGAATGTTTTCCATAATGCCAAATACTCATGTAGCTGGGGCAATTTACAACTCTGAGGTTTTAGAAAAAATTCCAATTTTTATTTAAAAATTGCAGGTGATGAAAACTCCCCCGAGATCCTGAGTAAATTGTTCCAGGGATGTAAGTGAGTAGTGGAGCCGGGTACTTGATCACTCACTCCCCACGCCACGCCTCTGCATCAGAGGCAGCAAGGAGGGGAGGAAATAGGAGCTGGTGCTGAAGGGAGCTGGCTTAAAAGCTCATTTCCCCACAGCACTGTCTCTGCGATGCTTCTTCTTCTCCCCCCTCCCCCTGCGACCCTGCTACTGCCTCTAGCGGAGTCAGCAGCGCCGGGGGGGAAGGCAGGCGGAAGACTCCAGCAGCAGCCCGTCTATGGGGAATCCCAGTGGTGAGCTGGGCCCCCCGTCCATGGACAGGGGCTGTTGCAGCAACGCAACCCCTGTCCGCAACAGCCTGGGCTGGCCACCGGCAGAGGCTGCTCCGGCATCAGCCCAGCTGGATCTTACTACATTTAAGAGTCCGTTATGGCTCTGCAGTTTAAATGCAGTAGGAGCTTGAGTGTCGGTGCACCTGGCTCCCACCAAATGTGAGCTACAGCGCCGCAGCGGGGATAGCTCCTGGGCTGGCACAAGCCAGTACCGAGCACCACCCCTCATCGACTAATTGTGTAGTCGGTACAAATTGTATCGACTACACCATTAGTCAACTACCCGCCTCCTAACATCCTTAAATTGTTCTAGGGGTTCATTACTCTCCCTGTTAAACATGTCCATGTTATTGCCAGTCTGAATTTGTCCAGCTTCAGCTGCCAGCTATTGGATCGTGTTGTCACTTTCTCTGCTGGACTGAAGAGCCCATTGTTAAATATTTGTTCTCAACCCTCTCTTTGTTTTGCGAACTAGATTGGGTCCTTGAGTGTACTATTGTCAGGCAGGTTTTCTAGCCCTTTCGTCATCATGCTTGTGGCTCTTCTCTGAGCCCTCTCCAATTGACCAACATGCTTCTTGAATTGTGGGTACCACAGTTGGACACAGGATTACAGCAGTGAGTACACCAGTGCCAAATCCCCAGGAAAAATAACCTCTCTGCTCTTACTCAAAATTCCTGTTATACACTCACTAGCAGACTTACCCGGTGTTGCCCGAGTCTGGTCCTGGGGGAAAGCAGGGACCACTCAGGCCTCCAGCT